CATCCAGACTTTCATTCCATCTTCAACAAACGGACTTAGTTGGAAGGGAAAACACTCGGATCCCGGCTGTGCTTCCCTTAGGATACTGGTGGCTTAAGACATTTCGTAAACTCATCCAGACTTTCATTCCATCTTCAACAAACGGACTTAGTTGGAAGGGAAAACACTTGGATGCCGGCTGTGCTTCCCTTAGGAAGTCTATCCGGTCCTCTTGGCTGCGCGTCCACCCCTAGCGTTGTATCAGTATGTCAGCTGTCCCCCTGAAAAAGCTCTCCATTCAGTAGGTGCTGGGGCCACCACCAGGCTTGGGGCGGGCGAGAAAAACAAACGGATTCGGGGACTACCCCGTCGGAACTTTTCGACAGTGGCAAGCTTGGAATTCGCTCTGTGAAAGCGCCCAAAAAAAAGAAGGGTAAAAAAAAGTAAAAAAAAAAAAGAAGGGTCGGAAGATACGAAGATTTTTTTTTTCGTTGTTGTTTTTTACGAAGATGTTTGACGGCATACTACTCACATTGGCACTTTTCAAATGAACCTGAGAGCAATAATGGCCGGACATGGATGCATCTGAGGGTAATCACGTCCAGAGCTGAGTCAAAAAACTCGTACTACGTGTGAGTATGCCCTGACAGATCACCGTGTGACGCAAATGGATGGGGTAAATAACCGAAAAAACAAGCAAACAGAAGAAGGCCAAAAGCCTCGTCTTCCGAACAAAAATAAAAGGCCCGTGTACCTGCACTACCCCCCGAAATCCATGGCGGGAGCGTTTATCGGCCTCTGCCACAGGCAGGGGTTGCCCGAGGTAGTGGCTATGGTGGCCGTTGAGGCGGGCAGGGGTTGGCTATGGTGGCCGTTGAGTCGGTCACGACGACCCGGGATGAAACTGTACAACTCCATGTAACTCAATCAATTAAGCTCGGCTGACTTTCCATTTGAGTGATCTAATTGGCAAAAAGCCCTCCTGTGCGTGATCTTCGTCCCTCCGGACTACCGGTAGCGGGCAAATCGGTAAAGGTTGGGGGGGGCTGATCAGGGGGAAAAGGGGGATAAAGAGGGGGGCGGAGCTGATCAGGGGGTAAAGGGGGATCAAGGGGGGGGCGGAGAGGGGGAGGGAGAGGGGGTTGGGGTAGGGCAGGATGAAGGGGGTAAACCCACGTGCTGATCAGAGGGGAACTTGAAGGAAGGCTGAGGGGGGGCTTCACCCAGAGAAAGGATGGAAACCCTACGCGTTCCACGGAAATCAGCACATCGCCGTAACTGATGGCTTTGGAGGAACGGATCGTATATTCTTGGGGTTGTCGATAGCAGTAGCAGCAACCTCTATTTCCTTTTTTTTTTTTTTTTTTTTTTTTTTTGAGCAACCTCTATTTCGACGTGGTGGAGCATAGGAAGATTTTGCTGCCAAAGCCCGCCGGCAACTGCTGACGATTGGAAGACGGAAAAAATGAGTGCGTCCCGGGATAATCGATTTTAGTCCTCTTCTTCCCGTCTTCCCCCTTTTCCCCTTTTCGAACCCGACGAGTGGGTCTTTTCACCTTCTTCTTTCCTCTATCTCTTCGTTGGTTTCCTCCATTCCGTCATTCCTTTCCTCTTTTCTTCCCTTTTTGCTCTCTCTCTCTCTCTCTCTCTCTCTCTCTCTCTCTCTCTCTCTCTGTGTGTGTGTGTGTGTGTGTGTGTGTGTGTGTGTGTGTGTTTGTGTGTGTGTGTGAACCCTTCCTTCGTCTCCTTTCTACCCTCCCTCCCATTTTCCCTTCTACCTACCTTCCTTCTCTGGCGTTCCTTTCCTTCTCTCCGTCCGGTCTTTCCTACCTGGGCGAAAAGCAGCAGACCTACCGACTGGTCGCACCATCTCTCTCTCTCTCTCTCTCTCTCTCTCTCTCTCTCTCTCTCTCTCTCTCTCTTTCTCTCTCTCTCTCCCCCTGCTTTCCTAGCCACCCACCCTCCTTCCTTCCTTTTGTTCCTTCCTTCCTTCCTTTCCTTCGTTTTCCTTTTATCCCTTCCGAGGACGGCCACATCAAGGCGAAAAGGCCACAGGCAGTTTTCGATTGATTCGAGCTTCTTCTGTGCACTCCAAGACTCCGAAATTTATGAACGATGTATTTTTAGAATTGTCCGTGGGATCTTCTGACGACGGAACTTTCACGTGGCAAGCAAGCTCGTGCCACGTGGCAAGCAAGCTCGTGCCACGTGGCAAGCAAGCTCGTGCCACGTGGCAAGCCTACATGCAACTTAATGGATGTTGTGCACCTGAAAGCTGTCTGCCTTCTTGCTCGATCGAGCGACTGCGCCCAAGAGCGCGCAAGCGGGCGGGAATACGAGGGAATGGGAATGGGGATGGGAATGGGAATGGGATCGTAACGGTGGCATTGTTAGCAGTATTACTAAGTAGTAGTATAGTAACCAGCACGACACAGTAGTAATAGTAAGCGAGCATTTGCCGACTTTGGTTGTCTTGTCTCCCTTCTCATTGTTGTTGTTGTTGTATTATTAACATAATAGCATAGCATAGGGGCTTCTTGCCACGTGTATATGGGCGCGAATGCGCGCTCTGAGCTGGCGAGAGGAGTGGGGGGGGAGGCAAAAAGAGAGACCAAGCGCTGCTCTGCGCGTAAGAAAGTGGTGATTCTATGCACCGTGCATGTTAACCTCAGGTGCATGATGCTTCCTACAGTCGTACACGCGTGCGCACACACACACACACACACACACACACACACACACACACAGAGAGAGAGAGAGAGAGAGAGAGAGAGAGAGAGAGAGAGAGAGAGAGAGAGAGAGAGAGATCTGGTGTGGGCGGTCGGTAGGCCTGCTGCTTTTCGCCCTGGGAGCAGATCAGGCCGACTACGGTGATGCCGTTGTGTGATCTCGACGACGCGGGCTTCGTGTAGGTGGTGCCCGTGCCCACACATTCATATCCCCTCTTCCCCCCCCCTCTCGAACACCGACACATACGGGCCCCTCCTGTTGTGTAGTTGTCTTTAGCGAATACAATCACACACACACACACACATACACAGAGAGAGAGAGAGCGAATACAAGTCACACACACACACACACATATACACAGAGAGAGAGAGAGAGAGAGAGAGAGAGAGAGAGAGAGAGAGAGAGAGAGATGAAGAGCCCAACGGGATCGGAGAAGGATGTGGAGTTTGAGGACCCGACTATGAGGTACGAGCTTCTTAATGAATTGGGCAAAGGTTCTTATGGCGCGGTGTACAAGGCGCGCGATCTGCACACCTCGGAGTTGGTGGCCATTAAGGTCATCTCTCTCTCCGAGGCAGAGGAGGGATACGAGGAAATCCGTGGCGAAATCGAGATGCTCCAGCAGTGTAATCACCCCAACGTTGTCCGTTATCTCGGCAGCTATCAGGGCGACGACTACCTGTGGATAGTCATGGAGTACTGTGGCGGCAGCAGCGTCGCCGACCTAATTAACGTCACCGACGAGCCGTTGGAAGAGGTTCAGATTGCGTATATCTGTCGTGAAGCTCTCAAGGGTCTCGCCTACCTCCATTCCATCTTCAAGGTCCATCGGGACATAAAGTGCGGCAACATCTTGATGACAGAGCAAGGGGAGATCAAGCTGGGCGATTTCGGCGTGGCCGCCCAATTAACCCGCACCATGTCGAAGCGCAACACCTTCATCGGTACCCCCCATTGGATGGCCCCCGAGGTAATCCAGGAGAGCCGATATGATGGGAAAGTGGATGTCTGGGCGCTCGGTATCTCCGGGATCGAGATGGCGGAGGGGCTCCCCCCTCGGTCCAACATTCACCCCATGAGAGTGATCTTCATGATCTCTCGAGAGCCCCCGCCCATGCTTGAGGACAAGGAGAAGTGGTCCCTGGTGTTCCACGATTTCGTGGCCAAGTCCCTGACGAAAGAACCGAGATCCCGACCGACCGCGACGCAGATGCTGCAGCACAAGTTCATCGACAAGTGCAAGGCGACGGCGGCGTGCATGCTGCCGAAGTTCCAGAAGGCGCGGGCGATCAAGGCGGCGGCGGAGATGGCGCGCCAGG